GTGTGTGTGTGTTTGTCTGTGCATGATCCCATATGCATGCCTGCCTGCCTGCATATTTATTGGTATGGACAGAGCCAGACAGAATCGGACCACTGCTGTCCTCTTATCTGGCCTCCAATCAGCTCACTTGCTCACTCTGGGACAATGATGGGCATAAGCGGTGTGCCCATGTGCCCCACCCTTCCCCAACGCCCCTCAGCCCACCCCTGACCTCTTCTCCGAGGATTGATCCCCCTCTCTCTGTCCAGTGCAGTCAGGATCAGCAGCCCAGACAATGCCCTTTCCACCACAGTGGACCTCAATGCTCTTTCCACAAACTTTCCCAGGCACTGGGCTTAAAGGGACGCATCGCTATGGGATTTGGCCTATGTAAACACACTGATGCCTGTGGCTGGCAGGTTGGAGCTCAAAACACTATGCCCCCTGCCCCCCCTCTCTTTGCTCCAGCCGTCTCTAAAGCTGTGTCGCTGGTACATCCACATCCACTCGGCCGGTGAGCAACAGCATCAGTAGAAGGAGCCAAAGAGCAGAAAGTGCTCAGTAAAGCTGGGACTCCTCATCCTCACCATCATTTCACACCATTCCTCCACAGTTTATTGACAAACCGAGGCTGTAGACATGTAATTATAGTGTGATCATGACATGAACGTGGTGAACAAACATGTGCATCCAAAGTTTTCCAAAAACACATTTCAGAACAGCACAAGCTTATAAAGTATGTGATTTAAACAAGCTAAGTACAGGTTTGAGGCTGAGGGCTTCAGCGTTTATCGCATACATGCCTATACATGCTATATGATGTCATAAAATATACATGTAAGACACGCAGATGAAAAGGGACGTGTGAAGCAGGGTTGTGTTTTGACTTCATCAATGGCCGATCAGATAAAAGTAGAGAGACTGCTGAGATCCCCTGTCTGGATTTTTTTTCTTCTTTTTTTTTTTAGAAACTAATGTTCAAGTCAAGGACAGGCTCAGATTCTGAGGTACTAAGATACAGTCAAATTCTTACAAACACACATTCCTTAGACCCCATTATAGACCCATTACGAGGTAGCTGCTCATTTCTATAATTTGGAAAGTGAGACTAGTAAGCGGCAACGTATTATTGTCACAACACACTTTAAAACCAGCTGGATGACTCACAGAGAAGAGTCCTGTCAAATATTTACAACTAAAAATGGATGTTTCGGATTGTTTACTGTCAAAAACCTCTCCTGGCCTCTCGCTGCCCTCCAAACAACACATAAAACAGCCGCAAACCACTACCTGTCTGTCTAAGGATAATCTAAATGGTAGGAGAGGTATTTTGGCTTGGACGTGGAGAGCAGAAAAAGAGATGAAGCAGGACGCTGGCTAGATGGCTAGCTGAGCAGCGGTGATGGAGACACCACAAAGCGAGAAGACAGAGTTTGGGGAGGGGGGGTGGTGGCAGGTAATCCAGGTGTGTCAGCTGTCTACCCGCCTGCATATTTGTGGTGAAGAGGAAGGAGGAGGGGGGGCCTTGTCTGAGGCAGACGGAGCAGTGGAGCCAAGGTGTGTCTCCAAGAGCAGTAGACTGGGAGGGAAGCTTGTGCACACGTACTCTCTCAGCTGTGTGCAAACATACGTGCAGGTGAAGCTTTGAATCAAGCCTGATACCAGCAGCTACTCAATTAATACCTGATTCATCCTTAATAATCACTTTTTTCTGCTGAAATGGTATCTGTTGAGCATGTACCAACAGTGAAACCAGACGCAGGAAGACTTGGACAAATGTTTTTGTCCAGACCCGATTGGATTAACAAGCGAGGGCAAAGTTTGTATGACATGGCACGTGGTTTCAAGCTTTCATCATCGAATGGCATTAATGAAAACCCGAAATGTTTATGTTGAGTCTAATCAGGTTTGTGCAATGAGCAAAACCTCTACTTAGGGTCGTGCTATGACTGATGGGCTGTTGGTTCACAAAACACGGAAAAAGGCTCAATTTTCAGTGTTTTGCCCTGTTACCGATCCTGGTGACTTACCCAGTGATCCTGACAGAGTGTGTGCCATGTTTGCGGTATTGTGGCGGTTTGGTGAAGCTGACGTCAGTGTGTTTATAGATCCCATTCTTGTAGACAAAGAAGTCCTCCTGGACCTCCATAATAGCTGCAAGAACAAACAAGCAGGGAAATTAGTAGGCGGATATAACACACACACGCACACACACACACACACTATGAGTATCTTTTATAAAGGCTGCTGAATCAATTATGAGGAGAGAGAGATAAAAATCTTATTCAAACATTGATTAATCTAAAAGTAATTACCTAATTTCACCAAACAAATTCCAATTTCCCCCATGAGTCACACACACCCAGACATCAGACAGGGCAGTGTGCGTGTGTGCGCATGCCAGTGTGAGTTCGGCTGTGAACTTTCATATTCCAGCTCAATGGGAATAACTCTCCGGATGTACAGTTCAGAACATGTGTGTGTGTTGATGAAAGGGGGTCCACTTTCATCAACACACACACATGCACACACTCACACACCTCTTTGCCTTTGTGTTGGAGAGAAACTCAAAAAACTTCACAGTTTTCCTGGACTGCTAAACAATAAAACAAGAGGCTGGCACAGGCTCAGAGAAGCACACACACACACGCACACCTACACGTGACTCCTCTATTCAAGTGAACTTGACAATGGTCCAGATAGGCAACAGACAGTGAGGCGGGCTTGTAAAGGAAGGGCAGTTCAACCACATTGACATTTAGGCCCATCATTTTTGACCAGGTGACCGGGGTTACAGTTGAAACCCGGGGCAAAACCATCAGGATGACAAGGTCAAACGTGACATCATCTGAGGTCGGACACCCAATACAAGGCTTCAAGGTGTGTGTGTGTGTGTTCAGATTTATTTGTCCCTTGGGAGTGTGGTTTAAAAAAAGTAACACTCACTTGGGAGCAAATGTTGACTCTAAAATATTATTTACAAATTGAATTTTACCTTGCACAGGGCCATTATCCATAATCTCCTTCATGATCTCCTTTTCCTGAGAGAGACGATAGAAGGAACAATTTATAGTCAGAGGAGAGAGAGACAGACAGAAAGATCATTACATGCCAGTGAAATGGAGAGGATGAAAACAACCACCCTGGATGTTAAAAGTCAGATAACAAGATTGAGTCCAGCAGGGCCCCCTGGCCTTAATGCCTGGCTTATTGACTTCACAGGCCATCGAGAGACAGGAACAACAGGCTGTAATGATTCTGAGAGGCATTAGCCATCATTTAGCATTGATGGATGCTCGCTGATAAAACCACATGTTGGCTGTAACTCAGTGGTTTGCTTTGAATTGGAAGAGATATATGGAGCTGCATGCAGAGACTGCTTCTGGAAAAACTTTAAGTGAACGTTACGTGATACTTTGTGCTAATAAGGAAGGGCAGAGGTGCTTTCTACACGAAGAGCACTAGAAGAAAGTATTACATTTAGATCATCGAGCTTTTAAATTGTGATATGAACTTTACATTTGCTGTTTCTGTCAGAACTCTTGGCCACTCTGTTCTCATATCGACTGACTCAACTCACTGTTGTGCCTAAGTGTGAATATATGACCTGTAGAATGAGTTGAGTAATTCGATATTAGCAGGTAAACACAGAAATCTAACTCCAGATACTTTTGAGTCTGGATAGTAGATAATGATTATGGATGATGATATCTAAAGTGCAGTCTGTAAATGGTTTAATTCAATCACTGGCATGCATATCCAATATGGAATCTAAAAAACAAGATTAGGTTTCTTTTTAATTCTGTGTTATATTTCAGTCAAATTTCTCAATCCTGAATCCAACTGCCTGGACTATAAAAGCTGGCAAACATGCAGGTAAAAATATAACTTCTTGCCCTTCACTGATTCAGTGAAGAGGGCTGTCGAGCATTTAATCCTGTACTTAATCCATGTTCATTCACAACGAAATCAAGTATGCCTGAGGAAAGTGTGCAAAAACACATACTGTAATAAACATGTGAGAGAGATTACAGTCTACTGAGGCACGAGGAAGTCCTAAAAATGTACAGCAAGCTTATGAAAGCTGTTTACTGGAGTCTAAAGAACATGTTGTGCTGGTCGGGTGTTGTCCTCATGGAGGATAGGTGTCTAGGCTTTTTTCTTGTGCATCATGTATCTCTGTTTGTGCGTGTATTGTTCTGTGCTCACATTGGATGAGAGCCTGTAGGGTGGTGTGGACTGGTAGATGTTGTTCTGGTAGTTGTGTGTGTTGGGGCAGCGCTGCGTGGCCTGCCTCTTCCCCCGGCCAACGGAGCGACTCTGCATCATACAGCGGCCCACCTCCGCTGGTGTTTGCTGTGGGGGTTGGTATGGATAACAGTCTTCTGTCACCACTCTGTGAGAGGAAGAGGAGGGGTGGAAACATGTTGTCATTAAGTAATCACCAAAACTTGTATTGTATTAAATGCTGCAATTCTTTTTAGCTTCTAGTTCATATAAAATAAGGTCTTCACCCTCTACGCCTGAGGTACCACCAGGCTCCGTCGATGCGTCCCCCGGCACAGCCGCCCTGGTTGCGCGTGTCACAGGAAATAAGATTTTGGGGGGACAGCTGAGGAGTCATGTGACCCATTGACTGGATGGAAATTCTGTCTGATGCCACAGCTGGAAAAGAGGATAGGCAACATTATAAAATATGTTACTGGATTGCCTACAATTAAATCAAATGATTTTAAGATGTCACCTTTAAATTCTTTCTATTTTGTGGTGCTGGATAACAAATATCTGCACATAAAGATTACATATCAACCACAAACCTGAGGAAGACTTTTTGTGGTCAACACATTGTCACATCCATTTAAAATAAAAGTATTGGGAACAACACAGTGTTTGAATCACTCAACCTGCCAACACCTTGTCAAAAGCTGCTTCACTTGCAACGTTTTTATTCTTATGTTGTCTGTCCTTTATGTGTTATAATGGTATCCCATATATTTCCCAGCATTTTCTCCAATTGTTCTTTTGCTGCTCTACCTGCAGTTGAGAAAGCCCAGGATGCAGCACAGTTGCCCTGGTCCAGTGGTTCATGGATCTTTCCTGGCCACTTCTCTGCTGAGTTGAAGTACGCAGGCAGACGGTCATTCTGCGGATCCATGTTCATCTGACAGACAGAAAAAGATAGAGAGACAGTTATTAGAGGCCTTCGATTGCTTTTAATCGCTGTTAAACTCTCACAGAGCAACCCCTGTTGAAAAAAACCTTAACATTTCTCAGTACAAACAATTATTATCATAAGTGGCGAAGTAAAATCTTGTTGTGTCAGACATACAGAGCAATTGTTTGCCCACAACAGAACACAAACTACTGCTGCAATTAAAATATTTGTGGATGGCTTTGTATGACAGGTTTGGACCACAGGCAGGTTACATAAGTCTGCTAATCAGCCCTCCAGTAGAAGGGACTTATTCACAGGCGATTAGGACCATTTGGCCCAGTGTCAATCTCTGACACTGGAAAATAGATAGAAACCTTTGATCCCTGTCCTCTCTACCATAAGGCAGCTTCGTTACATCCGTATAAAATCCAGTGCGTCATTTGAACCAACTGAACTTTCATGGCATCCATCTTCATTTAAAATATCAACCTCAGGGCGATGATAAATCTAATTTAGGATGATAAGTCTGTGACAAAGTGCATACATTTCCCTGATAGCGCATATTTACTCGCAGGTGCTTCTCAGATGCCAAACATACTTCATCTGTTAGTCTCCACTCCAGGTTGGATGCTTTCCTAATCTCCCAGTTATGTGTGATAACAGAGAACACACTTCTGTACAACTGACTTTCCCTCTCTCTCAGCCTGGCTGCCTGCACTGCATTCCTCTGATTAACAGTAAGGTATTCAGAGAGCAAACGGCCACCTGATGCATAACTAAAGAATGTGCTGCCGGTCAGAGAGTTGTAGTTGTGGAAGGTCAAAGTCTAAAAGAGGAGAAAAAAATAGCTGCAAGAATAAGGTGTTGTGTAATAAATTCATTCATGAATTCACAATTTTCCGTCCCTTACACAGGAGTCTACAGCCAGAGAAGGAAAGAAGGAGAGAGAGATTTATGAATGGGCTGCAAGGCTCTGATCTGGTTCCTGGCACAGGTAGGGACACGCTGACGGCGGAGGAAGAAGGGGGAGTTGTGAGATTTTTTGGGGGGTTGGAAGAAGTCGTGGAATGCTGGGTAGCAGTAGGGGAGTGAGGATGGATGGATGAGGGATTGATGGAGGTGGGGAGGTGTAGACTGGAGCACCAAGCAGCCACCATCCCCTCCATCTTCTCTGTCTGTCTGATGTTTTGGTTCCGTCTTATGTAATCTGTCTGGGTAAAATGTAAACAGTGACTGAGCGGATCAGAGTGGGCTGAGGTTCCAGACAGCGACGCCATCGCATACCAACAAGCAACCATAATTACCGTAAGTGGAAAACGTTTTGATCAGAGCTCCCTTGTTGGAATAGGTTTTCAACCTGCAGGAGCTTTTAAAGTGAAAAACCTCAACAAAACATGTAGTGATTCACTTTTTCTCTGCATTCTCACCTGTCGCTGAAACTTCCTGCTCTTCCTCCACCACCCCACACCCCTGCTCTACATGTGTCATACAGTCTATTTGATCCAAACTAGTTTTGGACTGGTATACAGCACAATAGGTTTAAATAGGTTTTTTCACCCACTAGAAACAAGTAATATATATACCTCCAGTCCTGGTATGGAAATGTGTTCTCTCTTTTCAAAGCAAGGTCAGAGGTCAAAGGTCAGTGACAAAACAGTAGCACTGAGGATGGCAAGGATCTCATGACTTACCTTAAGGGCACTTGAGCAAAGAGTATCAACTGCCTGTGGAACTTGACCACACACATATTTCTCTTTCTTTTGTCTCTTTTTTTAGTCAGTAGGGTCCTATTGACCCTAAAAATAATTTTCAAGAATGAAGACTGTCCTGTACCTGTATCTCATTCATGTTCATAATAGTCCTGGTGGGTCTCTGTGTGCCCAGGCGGTACCGGATGCCCTCGTCGAGAGTCATGCCGTAGAACTGACTGTAGTTAGCTGCCTTCCACCTGAAAATGACAGACAAGATGTTAAACACCAAGATTTTTTATTATAAAGTATCATCAAGTGTGTGTGTGTGTGTGTGTGTGTGCCATTGTTTGTTTTTACCCATAGTTTCCTCTGTTGACTGCATGGATAATGTCAGGCTCCATCAGACAGGCATTGTCCTCACACTCCCAACGTCCTGTGGTTCCACATGTGCTACAGAGTAGAGACAAAGTGATGAGATCATTAAAAGGCATTAGCAGCTGTAATTGCATAGTTTCAGTCTCCATATTTTATACTAAAGCCAGTCGAGTCACCAGCTAAAATATAAAATGCCATTTCAGAGAAAGAGAAATATGCAGAGGCTCAGTGGAATTCCCAAATAAGAAATTAATTGAAAGAAGAACGTCAGCAACTGGAAAAGACTGGAAAAAGAACGAATGAGGGGGTGAGAAATAGAGAGAGAGGTTAAAGGAGACATACAGCCTTTTAAGGCTTTAGAACACAGATCCTATTTTAGTCAGAAGGAAGCAGAGAGAACGAAGAAGTCAAGAAGATGACATAAGTGATAAGAGAACAGGAAATTAATGATGGCAACGTTTACTTTGAGGATGCTCAAAAATAACTTGCACACTACTTTCTTTCTGATGACTCACTGCAAAGGAGTGTGCGTGTGTGTGTGTGTAGCCAGACCAGTGGTGGAAAAGTGCCAAGATCCTTAAAAGTACCAATACAATAATAAAAAGTACATTAAAAGTAAGCGTCCTGCAGTTCTTTGCAAGTAAAGGCAAAAGTTTTATCAGCAAAACATACTTTAAAAGTAGACATACTCTTTTTTTATTATTTCAGAATGTTAATTATGGTATGTGGTACTGTAATAAATATCATAATTTCAAATATAATTCGTTTCAGATTAACATTTTAACCAGTGAGTGTAGTTTAAAATAGATGTTTATATTTCCCTGAAATGTAGAAGTAGAAAGTGGAAAGGCTTCAGTGAAGTACAAGTACT